AACGTTTTTTAATTTCCTTTGAGGGCTCGAGATAGTGGGATTCAAGTGTAGCTTTTATGGTCCGAGCCGAAGGCGAAGTTCATAGAAAAACTTACACAACAGAAACAAAACGAATCTTTCTTTTGCAGGTTCTGTTTTTGGCGTCAAACCAGCTATCTAACTGACATTACTCAAAAAAGTTTTTCTTGAATAGAAAGCAGTTTTCATTGAGTTTGTAAAGCGTGTCAAAAAAGCCAAATGGCAATGATCTTTAGAAGCTGCAAACAAATTTTCGGAGACGTTCGCATTACAACTAGACGATCTTTGTAAATCCTTAGAAACTTGCAGCAAATAATCCGAGACTTCATACTTGTTATTTGCTATGAAATAAACGAAATAGTATTTCTCCCTTCGAGTTCAACTCGAGTTAAATATTGGAATAATAATTTCAAATCTCCGCAGGTAGCCACTGTTGATCAAGTTGTTTGCATAGTCGTTTATGTTTGCATCCAAATAAACTGGTGAATTAATCGAAAAAGCTTTTTAATTTCAGGGGCAAGAAGTGGCCATAAGCCGCCTCAGGAAAAGAAGTGTTCAGCTAACGAGAGAGGTTCTTATAGAACTCAAACAGGTAATCTCCGTAGTAACGAATTAAGATAAGCTCAAAGAAGGGGGGATAAAAGGAAAATGTGGCATTTTAGAGAGCAGGGACAGCTTGAACATCGACAAAAACGGCGTTCATGAAAAGGTACTCCTAAAAGTTTAAGCCTAATTTATGCGTCGCATTTCCAACGTGTCGAGTTTAATTCAGCTAAGTGCGGCAGAAATGCGACTGTTGATTCATACGTCGCAATTAATATTGTCGGGTATGTCGGTCAGCGGAAAATGTTTTAAACGTAGAGTATTCAATATGGCGGACGAAGAGACTAAGCTACGAAAGACTTAAATTTTGCGAAAAATTGTCCGCCAAGGAGAAAGAGAAGGCTAACAATGCAGCAGTATGTGTTGCAATATTTTTAGGTTAAAACTCCAATTTGTCCTTGCAATTGTAAAGAAGTCGTCTGAGCAGATGGCATTTAGCATATCAGCAACGAGAATATCGAGCCACTGCGCTTTCCTGATGCCAGGTAGTATTGGGACGAGAATGGACAAGTTTCTTCTTTTTCTTTGGGGGGATCAAATTTACGCATGCTCAATACATTAACATAACGTATCCAATCTCGTTCCCAGAGTCTTCGTTTCCCTTGACCAGCGGTCGGAAAACGACAGCTCTGGGAGCAACCATTTCGGGCGTGCGCCATAGATGCAGACTGCGCAGTCAAACCGGATGGGTAGAATTCGGTTATTTCAAAATGGTTGCTCCCAGAGCTCTCGTTTTCCAACCGCTGGTCAAGGGGAACGAAGACTCAGGGAACGCGATTGTAACGTATCATAATGTATGTATTAGATTCGACGCGGCGGTAATTCGACGTTTGAATCGGTGTCGCATTTCTGTCGGATAACGCGACAAAACCAGTCGAACGTGCAGCAGAAATGCGGCAGCCGATTCAGTCATCGAATTTCTGTCGAATTTAATTCGTTGAATTGAATTCTACACGGCAGAAATGCTACTAACCTGGCCTTAGCAGACAAAGGCATTACCACAACGTCAATTAAAATGAGTATTAATAAAACCTTGATTATATATAAATAATTATTTTGCAAAGGTTCGGGATCTGAGCCACGAGAATCTCAACCCTTTCATTGGAGCGTGTATCGAGTCACTACACATTCTGCTCGTTGGTCTTACTGCAAAAAGAGAAGCCTCCAGGTTTGTAATCTCTATATGTGTTCGCACAAGATTTTTACCCATTACGCAGACGCTCTTTGGGCTCGTCACGCAATCCACCTCCGTTCGTAAGGAAGGAGGATTGCGTGACGAGCCCATAGAGCTTCTGCGTAGGAGGTTAGTTATACTTTGTTTGTCTGTTAGCAAAAACGTGTTCCTTTTATACCAGCATGTATGTCCGCATGGGTTTGATGTAGACTACGAGTAGTCCATCTTTCGCTTAGTCCGTCGTGCGGGACGCGAAAGAAAACCGCGAGAAAAAAATGGCCGCGCGAGCTCCTAGAGACCAGAAGCACGCCCACTTGATTCCACGGGGCCATTTTTCCCCGCAGTTTATTTACGGTCTCGCTCGAAGGACTAAGCGAAAGAGGGACTACACGTTGTCTAGGTTTGATACCAATACGTATCTAAGTACAAGTTAATTACTCATGAATGTTACCTTAAGGTTTTGTTACCCTTATAAGCACTTGGTTTATAACCACTTACGTTGTTTTTGTGTGTATGTTGTTCGTTTATTCGTATGCTACCCTGTGATCAGGCTCATCGCGTGGCAACTGAAAAGAGAGGAAAGATTTCTTCCTTCATACTTTTTTTCCCACGAAGAGCCTGCTCGCAGCCTACGGTCAAGAACTGAAATAATGGCCCGAAATAAGGGGTTATATTGACCAGGCATGAGATGAGATGGCAGCAGATACTGCTCAAGTTCTTGTTTGGACGTTTATATGTCGCGGTCTAGAAATACGCAAAAAAGAGCGAGGCTAACATTCAACCTGCCTGACCGAACAAGCTTGACCCAAAAGGATTTATCATACGGCATTAAGAACATTATTTTCTTGCTGGAAAGAGGTCATTCCGAGAGGATTTGTTGGTTTCCTCTTACCCGCTCAGATAGCCAGTCACAGCACAGGCGGCCCAGATGTTGAATACAATTAATACGTGACATTATGCTGTTGGCGATTGCGTTACAATTTTAGCCGTTTATAAGACAATGTATGAGAATACTACGAAAATTACTCTAAATGCTACGTGTAGAAAATAATTTGAATAAAATGGCTTGCCTTATGTTTGCATTGCGTTATTTTGATGTCTCTGGGTTCCTGGAGGTGGTCTAGAACCATTTAAGCGAGCTTCACTTTTCAACCAGAGACATCAAAACAACACAATGCAAACATAAGGTAAGCCATTTTATTCAAATTATTTTCTACACGTAGCATTTCGAGTAATTTTCGAAGCATTCTCATACATTGTCTTATAAACGGCTAAAATTGTAACGCAATCGCCAACAGC